GGTTGGTTATACGTGGCACAAGCACCATCCCTATTATCTGATATACATAGATCGACCAGACGTCCAGACCAGACCAGGAAGACCAGAGAGCATCCGGCATAAATAAACATAACAAGAAATCGATGGCGATGGCGATGGCGGCGGCGATGAGGGTCGGTGGCGGCGCTCTGCTCCGGCGGGCGCCCGTGGTGGAGGCAAGGCAGCGCCTCGTCCACACGACCCCGGAGGAGATGAGAGAGGTGGCGACCCGCGCGGCGCAAATCGGCAAGACAAAGGAGCAGCTGTTCGACATGGTCATTGACCTCAATAGCAACTACAACGTTCCCCACAGCATGAAACGGGAGCACTTGCTGCTGTCACAACGCCTCTCTTCACAAATCCAGCCTAGACCATACGACCCAGCCTGGTAACAACTACTCTACTGCTGCTGCTGCACTATCCTTCTAGTACTTACTATCGATTTGGATTTACACATATTCATACTATATATTGTTTGCTTTTAGATTTGTCTCTAGATAGATTTACATATATCTGGTATTCTGGTCTGGTCTGGTCTGGCCTGGTCTTTGAGAACTCATCTCATGTATTGTGTTGTTGTACCGTAGGCGTTTCTGCCGACGCACCGAAAGACGCAATACTTTCTACAAGTTTGTGGGGGTGACTACTTGTGGCCTTGTCGGCTCAGCCGGCCTCTTCTTGCTCCTACACGGACCTCATCATCGACCAAAGAAGTGGGTTGTCGACTGGTGGGACAAGCTAACCAGTTAGAATCCATCCATGCCCTGCTTCAACAACATATATATATATACTAGAATGCCAACAAGACTAGCTTCCTTGTCATGAGGTTTATGTTAATTAGCTTTGCTTGGCTACCAACTAAGTGCTATTATATGTTTGGACGGTCTATCTATCTTTTTGTCCAACGATTTCTACTTGTTCGACTCTTGTCTGCACTCGTATTTATACCAGGGCTATGCTAAGTGTGCAACTGCTTTATTTACTACTCCCTCTGTTCACTTTTATAAGACCTTGAAAACATTTCAGACAATGTGCAAAACAGCCTATTTTGAGTTGTCTGAAACGACTTACAAAAGTGAACGGAGGGAGTACTCAACAAATGTTGCCTCTTCCAATGACGAGCCGTACGACTCTTTCAAATTCAGTAAACATCAAGTATGAAGTCAGTGTATCACAACTTCCTCATCGGAACACCAGCTGCTGGTTCGCCTAGCTGAAATTGCGTAAGGGCCATCAGTCTCTTGTTCTACTTTACCATGTCGGCAAAAGAAAAATGTTCTACACTAAGTTCTGCACATAACCGATAGTTTTACTCTAAAGTTACATACTAAAGAGTGTCTAGTACATTGTAATGCTATGGTACCTCTAGCTCTATGCTCATCCCACTTGGGAAACACTGTAAAAGATCCAATGAAATCAGACACCCTTCCTAAATTTTGTCTCAGATATGAACTGATTATGAACCAGCTGCACAAGCATGTTTTGAGAGCACAAAACAGAAGCAAGCAAATCCGTGAATATCAATCCATTATTGCACATATAAGTCTGTACAAAACCCTGACGAGCCCTTGGCTGGTGGTGAAGTTCCGGGCGTACTTCGACACTTGAGGAAGGTCGTGCGTATGATGATGAGAATAAAATGATTTCTAATTTCGATATAGTAACATAAAGTTGGATCTGTTCCTTTTGAATTGTCAGTTTGTCCATCATGATTCTTGGGAAGAGACATTGGCAATAATTCACCTGGACAATTTATTTGTGAAAAAAATGTATGTCTATTTAAATCGCACATAAAAAAAATCTCACCACCTTGGTCTGCTGGCTGCAACACACACACATCAACATTGGTATTCCCTCCTCCCATAATATAAGATCCTAGCTTGCAAAACGATCTTATATTATGAGACGGGGGGAGTACATTCCTCCACTGGCTATTAATTATCGCAACTGAACTTGAACTTGAACGAGCAGGGCTTTCCTACATAAAGTTGTGCTTAAATTTCAGTACCAACCAAGTGAAGTGAAATGAAATAAATAGCTTGCAAAACAAGCTTTCCTACAGAAAGTTGTGCTTAAATTTCAGTACCAACCAACTGAAGTGAAGTGAAATGAACATGCATGGTGTGAATCAACCAATCGACAACATGGCTGGACGTCCACAACCAGCCGCGTACAAAAAACATGTGCAAATTGGTGACAGGGAACTTGGCCGGCCGGAGATGATGGCCTCTAGCTAGAGCAGATAAGTGACCATAAAGGATTTCCTCCGCTTTTATATTATAAAGCAACTATCAAATACAATCAGTTTGTTGGGGCCGCAGCACAAACAAGCCCAAAAGAAAAAAAACGAGAGAAAAAAAGAGAAACAAATGCCGACACGGATAGATCAACGAAGCGAGGACGGCCGACACCCGCTACACCCTCCGGAGAAGTTCCACCGCACTCCTAGCACTCCGAAGCCTCGCGTACCAAGCAACACCTTCGGGAAGGAATGCGACGACAACGCTGCTGCTGCCCAGACAAGTCCTAGGGTTTCCCCCGGTACGCGGATGGCAGTGGGGAAGGGGTATCACCGACGCCCCTCAGGAAGGTTCGGCGGAGCCCGCGGGCGTAGCCGCACAGCCAGGGATTTCTCCCGCCCCGAAACAACCACCGCCACCCCGGGCGATTGGAAGTGCACCACCCAACATGCCGCCCACCAGCCTGTGCCACCACGGTCACCGAACCAACTTCGCCGTCTCACTGAGGCCACCAACATGAGACCTCTAGGGAGAACAAGGAGACAACGGGCTCGGGGACAACCGCAACGCAGCCGACAGGAGGGGACAACCTCCACCGCCGCCCCAAGCCGACCGGACGCAGCGACAGGGACTTACCAGGCCTCCACAGGCTCGGACGGATCCCAAAGGGTCTGGACAGTTCCTGCTGCCACGTTGCAGCACGCCAACCGCCGGAGCCGTCACCACCCGCAGCCACTGACGCCTCTCCGCCACCACCAGGTAGCCGCGCCCGAACCGCCGGCCCGCCCCCGCCCAGATGGGGCCCGAAAGGGCCCAGATCTGGGCCGAGCAGGCTTCGCGAGCAACCAGCACACCACGCCGCCCCGCAGCCAACGACCACGCCGTCGTGTCAAGGGCGCTCGAGGCCCACGGGAACCCTGCCGCCGAACCACACCGCCGCCAGCCGAGGAGCACCGCCACCATCAGGGGGGGCCCCGCGTCCCCTACACGTGCGGGGAAGGAAAGGCCCACCGCCGCCAGTGTCGCACGGACGGGGCCCGGCGGACCACGCCAGCGGCGGCGGCAGGGAAGAAGGAACGGGAGGGGCTGGAGGAGAAGGGGGTCGGGGGTTTGTCCGTCACCGGCGGGGTGGGGCGAGCGAGCGAACAGAGCCTTCGTGTTCCGCCTCTCTCACCGCTCGAGCAAATAAATAGAGCGGTGAACACTGTTTATGAATTATGATCTCATTCGTGATCGGTTAAATCATGCGAGCCTGGAGTGCACTTCCCTATTTAGTTAACAAAATCTTCGTGAGACGACGGTGATAAATATAGCAGATCAAAATCAGAGGGCAAATGAAGCGGAGATGATTGTGAGGCTAGGGCGGCGGCGGTGGGAGAGGCAGCAAAACGATGAAGGCGATGTCAAACGACATCGGGTAAGAAGAGGCGTTCCCTGACCGATTCCTTCCACGAGGGTGACGAGAAGGAAGACTCTCAGATTCTGGACATGGTATTGTGCATCTGTGACGTCGTTGGCCACGATGGCGAGGCGATGACGGTGACCATAGCGGCGGGAGCTTTGGGCCCTGTGCAGGGAGCACACACTCAGGTGGGAGAGGGATGCAGCGCGAGGGGGAAAATGTCATGGGCTGGTGGCAATCTATGGGCTGCCCGAGATGGGAATGAAACCCGCCTTCCTACGGGAATTGGTGAACCCGGAAAAGGATAATCCACACCCCTCTTCTAAAGAAAAGATAATCCACACCCCCTGGTTATTGGGGGACTTTAATAACATATGGTATGAGGAAGAGAAAAATAATGACCGCTTCGACTAGCCTTCTTATTCAACGTTGATATTGACAGTTTGAATTTAAGGGAAGCCAAGATGTGGGGATGACAGTACACTTGGGCTAATAATTGTTTGGTGCCGACATACGAGAAATTCGATCATGTGCTTATGGATACTGAGTGGGAATTAAAATTCCCATTGGCAACTGTGTGTGCCCTAGAGCGTATTGAGACACTTTCAGACCATGCATCTATTACTCTTCATTCTAACTCTGATGCCTACCCACATGCTCGCCGACCATTCAAATTTGAATTAACTTGGTTACATGGGGAAGGCATTGCAAACATAATCAAGAATGTTCAGTAAAGCCGCACAACTGGAAGCACGCCCATTAAGAGATGGAATTCTAAAATCCTTACCGCAAGGTAGTTCATTTCTGGATGGGTGAAGCACATCAGTGGTATGTATAAGAAAGAAAAGAAATGACTTGCTGCCATTATTGATGATCTCGATAAAATCACAGAGACTCACACTTTGCCTCAACAAGAGACTGCGATGAAAAATCAAGCCAATGAGAAAATTGTGCATCTGTTGAGAGAGGACGAAATCAAATGGTACCGAAGATCCAAAGTCGATTTCATCCTGCTCAGAGACAACAATACACATTACTTCCAAATGTTCGCTAATGAGCGACATAGGAAGAAGTGTATTTTAGCCTCCAACTAGATGAGGGACAGATCGAGGGCCAAGAAGAGTTAAAGCGATATATAACGAGATACTACAAGTCTCTGTTTGGGGCTTCGGAGGCAAGGAATTTTACCCTCGATGAAGATCGAACGGATGACATCCCTTAAGTCACGAGAAAGAAAATGGCATACTCACGACACCTTTCTCGGAAGAGGAGATCAAAGTTGGAGTGTTCCAAATGGAACATAACAAAGCTCCAGGTCCTAATGGTTTCCCCGTAGATTTCTATCAGAACTTCTAGGACATTACCAAGTCCAACCTTATTGAGTTGTTCGATTTTTTTCACGCATGCCAACTTGACCTATCCAGGATAAATTTTGGTCATTTTGTTGCCTAAAATTAAGGAGGCCTAATTTTGGTGAGATAATTTTCAACACAAGCACTGAAGGAGGGTGTACTCCATCACTACATTCTTTGAAGCCATGGCCGAGATATCCACACACAGCACACAAGTCCGGAAGACACTCATACCTGACAATGAACACCTCCTGCTTCTTCCCCTTAACAAGAGTAACAACATTAATCTTAACTCGCACCCTGAAAAGGTTTCCCTCGAAGTCGTGGGATTCCGGCTCAGGATAGACATATTCCCCAACCTTTGCTGCCAAGGATTTCAGTAGCGGGTAGTATCTATTTGGGAGGTCGTGGATTTGTATCCATATTTCAAGAGTATCTTAATTAGGGCAAAGGAAGATAGTCTGGTGAAGCCATCATAAGGTGCCAACATGACAGCGTTGCCGCGGAAAGTCCAAGGCCCCTCCTCCATCACTCTCTCCAAATCCCAAAGACGGGAGAACTGCAACGTGTACAAGTTGCCCACCGAATCGTCACCTCCTTGTCCAGGTCCCAGGCTACCCTCATGTTCTTAAAGAACCAAAAATGGCAATAGTTACCCCGCAAAAAAATGGCAATAGTTTTTTTTTCTTTTCATATGAACTTGGGCTATGGCCATCCACCGCGTCGTCCTTTCTGGAATCGCCTCCTCATCATCAA